GGTCGAGTAACCTAAACCGTACGACGTAGTACGACTAGTACTACTAATAAGGTTACGGTTACCCGTACCTACTAGTTGTCGTACACTACAGAGACGCTCTCTCTCTCTCTCTCTCTCTCTCTCTCTCTAGCCCTCTGGGCGGCATGGTCCACCTAAGAAAGCCTAAGATGGAGCGCCGCACCTAAGCCTAGCCTAGACAACACATAAGCCTTTCTACTTTGATATAGAGTGACTTTCTTGGTTATGCTCTCTACTACCCCATCCAGAATTTTAAGGTTGCCATCAAGCTTTCCCATCTAAAGGAGATTCAACAGCGATTTAGATCAGTGCGTTGTCGAGCTAGGTGATCTAGAGTGGGGTATATAAAAGTCCTTAGAGGTGATCCGAGGCAACTTCTTCCAATAAAAAACGCTTCTCATTGTTCTTAATTCACTTTGTTATAGTAATTTTTTAAATTTTTATGAATGAAAGATGTTTGTTAAGTGGCAACAAATGAGGTCCTTAAATTATAGTAGCCTTATTTTATTGTTATTGCAACTATAAGTGGCTTATGCAAGTAGACTTGCCAGTATAGTTGCTAACAATTTTTAAAAACATATACCATGCGTGATCTAAATTGCCACCTTTCAGAAAGGAGTCCATATTTCTTTTTAAACTATAGTTTATTAGGACTATTTTTTATGGATCACAGAAATTCATTAATGAGAGGCACATATCAAGTGGCAACAATTGAAAACACATACAGATGCATATAGAGAAACTAGATCAAGGAAGAAAAGTGGGTTGAAATAGGTGGAAGTGCATAAAAATGATTGAAAGAAAGGAATAGGAGGAAAGCAAATGGGCTAAAAGACAAGAAAGAAGGGTGGTGGGATCCTCAAATTAGGCATTTAAGGTGCAATCTCTTCATAACCAGTTACTCTTCCACTCCAAGTAAAATGGGTGAAGCTTGAAGTCATTGGGATTTGCAGAAAAAGGAGTGCCAACGCAAATAAGGTTAGCATGGGAAAATTAGGGAGCCACAAGAAATTCACATTTACCAAAAATGGATCTTCTGTAGTTCTGTGTGGGGAAGGAAGACCGAAATGCAAATCACATATATGAGAACGATATAGGACTTTCTCCATAAAACACCCATTGCCTAACCCATACATCAACATTTACTCATTATCTTCAAAAACAAGAAGCCCAGTTCTGCTTTGGATATAAAGCTCCTCATGAGATATTTCCACTAAATATTATTACTCCGCACTCCCACACATACTCTAATAACCTAATGTTCAACTAGCTTAAAAGTTTAGTCAATGTCAATTAAGTGCAAAATTCTTTTCCTATGCATTTGATGCACAATCTAATGCAAGAAGTTAAAAGAGATTCTGTAGAAAGGGCAGCCTCATATTAGTGCTGACAGTGAACTCACAGGTATTTCTTGGTCAGTTTTAGAAGACACCAATGCCTGATAAGCCTTGGGGTTAATTTTTGCAGCTTCACGCCATACCACGCCTTGAAGATCTCCAAGATGCCGTTCCCTAAACATTGGGTCCAAAATTACCTAAGAAAGAAATTCTTATAGATTAGCCCATGCAAATGTGCGCAAAAGCAAGCCCAAGGCTTGGAAAAACACAAAATACATATGAAGATCTAATTATTTATCATATAGAGATTTAACAAAATACACATAAGAATGAATTATTTAACATTTTACTCATATCTTTTGATTTAATTTCAAAAGCCACTTCAAAATACAGATGATCATAAGGAATAGTTGAAAATGGGCAATATGATAATATAAAATAGTTGAAGAGTAAGACATATTTTGATAAATTTCGCATCCAATATACGATTTCATTGAGTAATTATAACCAAGCCGCAGATTCTTAAACAGTTTCTCTCCTGCTAAAACTATTCAAGGTATTGTAAGAATGATATACCAGCATGTAAAACACCGTGTACCATTTAATTGCCAATATCAAAACTGCCACTTGATGGGTTTAAGCTAAGGCTTGGCAGTTAGAACACTAGGGACCACAAACCAACATCCAAAACCAAGGTTTCTGACAGGAGTGATGTAGGAAAATAGAGAAGAGGGGAAAAAACAATTCAATAACACATCAAAACAGGCCAGATTTGAGTGGACCTGGCTTTTCTTGCACAAAGAAGAAAACCCAAAAACCTAGATAGGGTATGGTTTTACTTTCATGCCCTGTTTTTATTGCTTACACCCCAAAAATGTCAACAACCCTAACACCCCAAGCCCTTCTATTACATTACTAAAAAAAAACAAAATTACACCCACTTAATTTAAATTATTATAAAATAACCCCATAAGTCCCTTCACTTGAATTGAAACATAAAAGATCCCTCAATTGCCTCTAACTTTAATTAGAACAGTGCAAAACACTAAGAGACTGTAAAAATAGCAACAAAACTAAAAAATAAACTCCTCCAAAAAATCAGCCTTCCCTTCCTAGATCTCCTTGTGACCTTGGGATGTGAATCATCATAAATGGGGTCGTCAAAGGATGGATTGATTAAGTCCAAAGGCCAATGAGAACTATTTTGATCGGTCAAAGGACTGTCTGATGCATCATATCTGCTGGTTGGGAAGAACTCAAACACGAGTTCAGCTCTTTATCTTTGCTACATCGGGTCCTTGGTACTCAAAAAGATCAACAACATTGTAATACATTAGAGGTCTCAATCTCAACTAGAAGGTCAATCTTATGGGCATTATTTTCATATTCCTCAACACCCGAAATGGTCCGATCTTCCTGTTATTCAGCTTGTTGTGTTTGCCCACAGGAAGCTTATCTTTGTGTAGATTAACCATCACCAAAATAGCCTATGTTTATCTACAGCTTTCTTGTACTTGATAGTGGCAATCTCCAAATTAGCTCTAACTCGGTTGTGGACATCCTTCATGTGCATGATCATACTGTCAGCATCTAAGTGTTCTCCTCCATTAGCTTGTAAAGGAGTCTAGTACATCATATGCCCAACACGACCTCGAATGGGCTCTTACTGGTTGACCTATGTGGGAACTATTGTAAGCAAACTCAGCTTATGGCAAAGCCATGTCCCACTGTCTCTTCCCATCATCTACTATACTCCAAAGTAGGTTACCAAGGATTCGCTTAACCACCTCAGTTTGACCATCAATCTGTGGATGATAAGCACCACTGAACTGTAGCTTGGTACCAATCTTGTGCCATAAAGTTCTCCAAAAGTAGCTAAGAAACTTGGTATCCCTATCCGATGTAATCGTTTTGGGAATCCCATGAAGTTTCATCACCTCACAGAAATATAAGTTCGCCACATGAGTTACATCTAGAGTTTTCTCACCAGCAATGAAGTGGGACATCTTTAATAACATGTCAACCATAACAAATATAATGTTGTTGTGCATTGGGAATGGGAAGTGTGCAGTATCTAAACCTGTGTTTTGACATTGCAATTTGCCACACTCTACACCCCTCCACATGTCTCAACACATCTCGCCTAAGTTTGGCCAATAATACTTAAGACTCCAACAATTGATGGTTTTCGCCCAAAATCAGCCCAAACAGCCAGCGAATGTTGCTATGATGGTGTTGAATCCTCTAATGAACCGTTGATAAAAAGTGGCCGGCCCATGGAAACTGCACACATCATGGACTATTGTAGGGGTGAGCCATTCTCTTAATGCTGCCACCTTCCCCTCGTCAAATTAGATTCCCTTAGTGGAAACCATGAAACCCAAGAAAATCAAATTCTAGTCATGAATTCACACTTCTTCAAATTTGTATACAGCTTCTCCCCTCGTAACAGCTCCAACACAAGCCTTAGATGGTCCAGATGTTGCCCTTCACTAGTGTTGTTTGATGATATGAGGATATCATCAAAGAATACCACCACAAACTTTCCTACACCTGGTTAAAGACTTGACTCATGAGCCTCATAAAGGTGCTAGGTGCATTTGATAACCCGAATGGCATAAACAGTCACTCATACAATCCCCCTCGTGTCTTAAATGCTGTCCTCCATTCATCACCCAGCCTAATTCTGATTTGATAGTAACCACTTCTCAAGTCTATTTTAAAGAAAAAGAAAAAATTATACCTCCTACCAATTGTCCAACATATCATCTAAGCGTGGTATCGGGAAGTGGTGTTCTATGGTAATTTTATTAATCACCCTGTTGTCCACACACATATGCCAGGAACCATCGTTCTTGAGCAACAACAATGCTGGCGCTGCACATTGGCACATACCCTCGCTAATAAATCCTTTCTGCAGCAACTTTGAAACTTGCCTCTGTAACTCCTAATGCTCCTTAGGGCTCATTCTATAGGTCACTTTATTTGGGAGACTCAAACCAACGATGAGGTCGATGTGATATTGGAAATCCCCTGGAAACTCATCCAGTATGGCATCATTGAACTTCCTCATCAATGATTAGATTACCCACTTTCCCATATGCAGTACAATGTGTATGAAATATTTTTTGAGCAACTAGTCAGTTTCCTCCACAATCCATGGCGTAATCATGTTATTCCTGAACACCAATGCCTTCCATGATCACTATAGGTCACTTTAGGGTCCCCTTCAACAAACAGTCATCGTAGATTGGATTACCTTCAAAAGAGTGCTTATTTTCCTCATCATAAAACTCTGCATAAAGGTTAACAAACTTCCGATTAAGCACTGTGATGAGACATGCCCGATGCACGAACACTTGTAGCACTTGATGCCCCTTTCTGGTTGCTTGAATCCCTAAACAACCACTTTTTGGTCTAGGGCGCCTTGCTGGTGGTTGTTCCAATAGTGTGAGCTGTCAAACCAGCACCCGTCACACTGCCTTCTCTTCCGAAAGCACCACCATGGTTTCTATCCTATTTTTCCTATCACTCGGACCCGCACACGACCTGTTTGAGGGTCGTTACTTCTAAGTTTCAACCCTCTTTGCAAGGTTATAAATCTCATCAAGGGTCCAATACTGCTGCAAAACTATGACATCTTGAATTAATTGGCACGGTCTATTCACATACCTGGAAATGGACTACTCCTCTGCTCGATCACATCGCTACGGGCAGTCAAAAGGTGAAACTCATATGTGTATTTATCCGCCGACCTAGATCCTTAACACAACACATGTATCTTTAAATATAAAGACTGTAAATAATTTTCAAGAAGTTATTTTTCCTTCATTGTTTGCCTCATCTTCTCCCATGACACAATTTTATGTTTTTCCCTTTTTTTCTCGCCTTGCTCTCAGCAGTTCCCACCATGCCGAAGTACTTTCCTTCAATTTAATGGCAATAATTTTGACTTTTTCATTCTTTGTTGCATCCTTATAATCAAAGACCATCTCTACTTTTTTTAATCAGTCTATAAAGTCATCTACCTAAGACTTTCCTTCAAAATCAAGAATATTTACTTTAGATCTATGGATTTCGAGACCTGCCTATTCCTCCGATCATATTTCCCTTCACTCGACTCATCTCGCGAAGCACAATCCTGAAGAGGGTTGTACTCAATATCATCTTGGACGGGAAAAACTAGGGGTGGCAACATGTCGGGGTCCGGCCGGACCCAGACCCGGACCCGACCTAATTGGACCTAAAAATAAAAAGAATATATATTTAAATATATTTAAATGTATGCCGAATGCATACATGTATTTTTCAAATATTATAATTAATATATATTAAATATTATTTGGGGGCAAATTCTTCCACTCTTTGGCTGGGTTTGAGTCACCCCTCAGTCTATCCCTGGCCTCTTCATCCTCTCTCAATCTCTCCCATGGCCCAAAGCTGGAACCATTTTATGGAAGGCCATGGTCTCCGCCACTTTATGGTCCATTTGGATCGAAAGAAACCATAGAATCTTTAGAGATGAAAGTATCTCAGCAGCCAGCCTTAAGGAGAAAGTGTTAGCCTTGGTCATTTTCTGGACCAAGAACCTCAAGCACTTTAGAGCTTTTTCGACCTCAGATTTCTGGCTTAATTGGCTCCAGTTGTGCCATCTAACCTCACTATGGAGACCCCCCCAACCAGGTTGGATCAAACTTAATTTCGATGAATGTTCCCTAGGAAATCCAGGACTTGTCGGGGTTGGAGGCCTATTCAAGGACCACTCCGGTCACACCTTCTGCTCCCTCTCCAAAAACATTGGTTTCAATGACAACACAACAGCAGAGGCTACTGCATTGCTTGAATGCATAAGGTTGTTTAGACCTGAGAGGGATAATCACATTGCCATTGAAGGTGACTCCAAATCCATCATTGCTTGGGCCTCGGGCTCAGCTGATCCTCCTTGGAGACTAGCTCATATCTTCGATGAATTCCACGACACTATCAGCTCAATTGAAGTTTTTTGGACTCATATATGTCGTGAAGCAAAGTCACTGGTTGATTCCCTCGCCAAAGATGAAGCAGCAACTCCCACTGAGATTGGAATCGAAAACCTTTTTTGTACACTGTTACATTCTCGATTTCTCAGATTGAGGATGCAAATTATCTCGCACAGAATTTTGTATCTAATTTTCTTTCATGTACACATCTGACCGACTGACCCTGTAATTATGGTCCTCTTTGTATACTCTTTCCTTACTCTTAATACAAGTTATATTCTCTCAAAAAAAGTTATTATTTATATAATAACACTATTTGGGTCGGGTCCCATGGACCCAAACCCGGACCCAAATAATGTTTGGATCTAATATTTGGACCCGGACCTGACCCGCCCCATATCCAGATCTGACTCATCGGGCCCCAGGTCCATTGCCAACCCTAAGCAAAACTTCATCTTGCCCACGATCGATGCCTGCAAGCCACCTTGTAAGTTCCTGAACTTGTCAACTTGGATCCTCTATCTACCGATCTCGCTCATCACGAGGTGGATCCATATGAATATCTCTACCTTGATTTCTTCTTGGTGCCATAAGTTCACCAAAATCACAAAACCTAGGAAGAGAACCGACAAACCCTAGTTGAAATCAGCAAGTACTAGACTGATTTGGCAAAATTAAGCCTAAAATCAGCAAATCCTAAACTCCGTTGTAGGTACCCAACTTTGTTATTAAAGAAAACCTTACCAATTGATGCAAGAAAAAAAAAAGCAGCAAAATAAATTCAATAAACCATCATAACAAGCCAAATTTCAGTGGACCTAGCTTTCCTTGCACAAAGAAGAGACCCGAAACCCTAGATAGGGCCTGGTTTTAGTGTTCACACCCATTTTTACCGTTCAAACCCTAAAAGTTTCAGCAACCAGCCCAGGCCCTTTTATTATTTATTAATAACGAAGACCAAAACTACCCACACCTAAGTTAAAACATTATAAAAATACCCTATAAATCGCTTCACTTAAAATAAAACATAAAAGGTCCCTAACTTCAAATAAAACACTGGAAATCAATAAAATGTAAAAACAGCAACAAACTAAAAATAAACTACCTCAAAAAATCTGCCTTCCCCTCCCAGATCTTATCGCGACCTTGGGATGTGGATCATCATAAAGGCGGTCGTCAACAGGTGGTTTGATTGGGTCAAAATGCAGAGAATTGTCTTGACCGATTGAAGGATTGTTCAGTGCATCAAGGTGCTACTAGTGATGATTGAGAAATATTCTTTAACTACATTATATAGTACTTTCTCATTTACTACAGCAGAAATTTCGGCTTGTTTTGTTAGCAAACAAGTTGCAACTTTAGGTTCTTTGAGGCTCCTCTAAAGCCTGGCCCTCGTAATTTCTTTTGTTGTTTGCACCAATCAGTTCGTGTCAATCTTACACTAGGGTGCATGAATCAATCTGTTAATCAAATAAGGCTGCACAGGATCCTTGGCATGGTCTCATTGCGGTCCTGAGTTGAGGTTTCTACATCAAGGTTTGGCCCAAAGGTTGAAACAAGGTTGGACTTAGACATGTGGGGTCTCTGGTGATTTTCCAAACAAAAGGTATGAATAGGGAAACTTAAAAGAGGAAGGTCAAAATTAATAATATTCAAAGAATTGAGGAGGGAATGTGGGGACCAGACAAGGAAAACAATGAGGCAAAATAATATTGAAAATAATGACATCTCCACAAGGTAAACGAGGAAAAATAACAAAAAGGAGAAAAACGGAGGGAGGAAAACCATGGAGGCATCAGGAAATGACGGACCTTGACAAAAGAGAAAAATTACTATTTTTGTTCCGGAACACTATAGATCTAAAGTTGATGCAAGTTAGAAGTGTATAGATAGTCGGAGATAAGATTCTTCACGTATAGTAATGATGTAAGGAATTTCTTGCTTTCAAAGATATTTTGGTGCCAAAACCTTGCAGCTGGAGGTTGAAATACTTCTGTTAGAATGGCAACTCTTTAAAGGGCAATTCTAGTCAATTAAAGGGGAATGAGAAATTCAGTCACGCTTTGGAACATGTCTTCATTTCAATTTCAGCTGTAGTAGATGTGTCCCACATAATCGTTTGAAATGTGTGCATGGCATAAACTATTGAAATTCACTTCAGCACCAATTTCAATTTGGTTAGGAATGAGAATTCCTTAAGAAAAGTGGCCACGACATGAAAAAATTCAAAAATATTATATTATTTAAAAATATTATAAGACACAGAAGCTGAAATTTAGGACAGGAAAAAATAAATATAAAGATTATAAACAATGAAAAAAATGGCGCATCCACATGTAATTCATTTTTTCACATGCTTCTCCCGTGTTATTTATATTGTTGCATTGTCGGACATTATAACGCATGTAGCCTCATAAGTCATCATGTTATTGGCTGAGGTCATTCTTCCAATAATTTGCTGCATATAAAGTTCACAAGTGCCACATTCAATCTGATTAGTGAAGTTATTCTCCAAGTAGGAGCCATTCGCTTGGGCCACTCAAATTTTTAAGGGCTTTCCGCAATCTGTTCATTGCCCTTCAATTACCAATACATGAAGGTTTTTCTAACATGATTTGAGAGCCAGCAATTGATATCACAAAATAGCAAAGTGCAAACTTATTGGTTTGACAAAGATAGGAAGCGGAATCTCAAGCAAAGACATTGTTTTTCTTGGCGGGTATGAATCCAAAATAATATTTCCCCCATACATGGGCTATTTTATAGCATTTCGACCAGCTTCTGCTCAAAGAATTATTTTTCCTTTTCTTTTCTTCTATGTTAGTCAGTACACCTTATTTAAAAGTTTCTTAAGAGTTGGATTTTAGAAAGGGCTTTCCTTTGAGGAATTTTCTTCCTAGGAAGTTTCACTTCCATTTCTTGAACTGCTCAACTTCAATTTCAAGCATCAAGTTCCATATGTTTTCGTGTTCCTGTTGAGAAGTGAACTGTCTAGCACAACCTATATTTGCATAAATCTCACCCATTGCTAGATCATAACAACTTATATTATTCCGCCTTCAACATAAATCCATTTTTCAAAAGATTTATGAGGTCTTTGGGCTGACATTTACGGTTTCCATAGTCTGTTGGTTCATGCAACCCTTCTAGGATTTATCTTTCCCATTTTTGTTCCGTAGCCTTCTATTTAGTAAATGTGGAGAACACTGGCACCAACCTTATCCTTCTCCCATTTTTATTTCATGCTATATAAAGTAATCATTTGGACAATGTTTTCTAATGGTTCTGATTAGATAAATCTCCAATGCAGTCCAACAAGGCCTAGCTCTTTTATCTGCAAAAAAACTTTCATTCCAAATTACGAGGGCATATCAATGAGAATTTTAAGGACTATAGAAAAAGAATATTTCCTTCATGATCCCATCCTCTCCATGCTTCCTTCATAGAGAAAAATGGAGGAACAAGATTTATGTAGCAAACCCCAAATAATTGAGGTAAGGCTTAGATGATGATGACCACATCTTCTCCATATAACCATCTACCCAGGTTATGAGAGAAATTAAATTTCTAGCATTCCCCAGTCACAGATATGATAAGTACACAGTGATGGATAACAACAGGTTTTGATGCCCAAAAAAAGAAATTTATCAAATTTGGATAATAAAAATGGTAGAAAACTAACAATGAAACTGATGCAGTCCAGAATATTGCTCTCAAGTATCTAGATAAGACAGACAAGCTTAAAGTTTACAAGAGCAATCACAGAAGGGAAAAAAAAGTCATCGAAACTGTCCTTTTATGTCTTTTATTTATTTATTGAGTTATTTTATTTACTCAGGGGGCATAAGAAGTATTTCAACAGTCTCTTATTTACTTATATTCACTTAAAGTCTTTTATAATGAGTGACTATGATTAGATTCAATGGATGGCCAAGATTAGGTTTTGTTTAAGGTTTTCTTATATAAGGGATGTACTCAAGCATAATGAAACATCTTGTTATGGACTTTATTCAAAACCCTAGAGCAGTTAGTGCTCCTTCTTCTATCTCTGATTTTTGCAATCTTTCTTTAATTTTGGATCTCCCTAGCTTCTTCTTTGCCAAACCCTAGCTCCAAGCTACTAGGTTTGCGTCAGAAACTTTCTATAGGTATGATGCTCAGAATAATTGAAAAGGCTAATTTTGCGGTCACAAATATTAGGTGAACCGCGAACCACGAGATTACTTAGAGACAAAGAAAATGAATACTTAAGACATGGCATTGCAACGCCTTCATGAAGTCAACGAGATATACATACAATTTATTTATCTTCATTAATTCAGCAAGGAGTTTGCGCGGCCATTGTATTATTATGTTAAATAAGTTTGTGTGATACAAGGACTGAAATTTAAGGAACTCTCAAGAGCTTGCTATATACAGGTGACCTCAATACGATACTCAAAAGGTAACACACGCAAAGCTCTCCATGTGGAGGAAATAAAGCATTCAAAAAGTAAATGAAGGATTCAACAAGCATGTTTACATGAAGCCTTGGATCCAAAAAGTAAATCAAGCACTTACCTCCCATGTTACTCCGAAATTCCTTAAATAAGTGACATAAGAAGTACAAACTGTGGAAAGTATAATCATATTCATAATACCTCTGCTAATTTGCATTTTTCTGCAATTATCTTTGCAGTGTCGAACGCTCGCTTCAAGTCAGATGAGTATACAGCTGCAATTTCAGATTCCTTTGATAGGCGTTCAGCAACCTTGAAGATATCCAATCAAATTTCATCATAAAAATGAAAAACAATTGAATTATTACACTAGCCATAATGTTTATGATTTGCTACTTACTGCAATTGCTTGTTGTAGTCCAACCTCATTAAGCTCTACATCCAAATGACCCTTATAAACAAATTGCTTAAAAGTCAGGGAGGGCATCGAACATAGCCGTGTAACAGAACTTTCTATGAAAGGGGATCATAGTCCAGAACATGCTTTGATGATGTATTTATAAGCATGCAAAGTTGCAAACATCATTTTCTAACATTTCCATTGATATTTAATCCAAGAACACAAACATAATGACAACAGCTAATGAAGTTCTGTAGTAAATTACTCTACATCCAAGAAAAGACATTATTCAACTTTAAGACTAGCATTCAATCTTCATCAAGCAGGACGCTTAGAGGTCATGTAGACCAGCATCAATTATAGCCTGGACCATCTTGAAAGAAGGGCAATGTGATCAAGCACAGTTTGTATAGTTTCAAATTTTGCATTCTTTCTATTGCAATACCGGCTAGATCACTTACATATGTCCAAAAATACAACTTTAATTTATAGAAATAAACTTAATGCAATCTAAGATCTTCTCTTACAAGCCATTACAATTCTTTGCAATAAAAACAAAAATACAATGCATGAAGAATCAAGAAACAGGGAGCCATAAGAATTACCAAATACCCATGCCTCAGGTTATCCCCAAGAACTTCATAGACCCCACACAGGGTCACCTCCACTGCTGGAGCACGGGGTCTAAGTTTTTCTTGAATCTCAGCAAGTGGGAAGCAATGTGAAACCCTCTACTCAGTCTCAGAGAGCATGTACACAAAACTGGGGTTTTTCTTCTTTTCACATTGTATGTCAAACCCTTGATTTTTAATTGCAAATAAGAATTAGGATTTCTTAAGTTCTAAGTAGGTCTTTTATTATAAATAGAACTTCGTGTAAAGGATTTAGAAGTAGAGTTGACTATTATTTAGAATTGACTATCTAAGGAATTTGAGAAGAATTCATGAGAGCCACTAAAGCTTATGTTGCTATTTTCCAAATTTATTTTAAGTCGATATATTAGGTATTGATTACTATCCTAATCAGATTCCCCATAAATCAGATATTTAACTCTAGCAGTTCAACAAACTTCAAATAAAGTTACATACAAGCAGAACATCAAGCCCAATCAAGCTCATGTTGCTAGTTTCCAAATTTATTTTCAGTCAATACATTAGGTATTGATTACTATCCTAATCAGATTCCCCATTGATTACTATCCTACTCAGATCCCCCATAAATCAGATATTTAACTCTAGCAGCAACACACTTCAAATAAAATTCATCGTTGATGCATACAAACAGAACATCAGGCCCAATCCCAATCACACAAGAATTTATACAACACTTTCTGTTTTGTCCATCAAGAATAAATGGCCACCTGAATTCTTCCAGATGCATTCCATGTCGTCTCTCCATGGCGCACTACAACAATCTCTGTTACATCAGGTGGTAGTGTTCCTATTTCAGAACTAGAATTGGTATTTGTGCATAAGCATCTGCACCATTAGACAAAAATACTATCATTAGGTATTGAAGATTCCAATATCTTAAAAGAATTATGCATACCAGACAATCTTGGTGCTTGATACTCTTATAATTACAAACATGATCAACAAACAGAAAATTATGGCTCCCCTACATGTTATCAGTTCATTAGCAACAACCAGTGCTTTCGCTAGGGCAAACCACGTTTGATGGTGGGAAGATGCAAAAAGCAGCATGGAAAATAAGTGCACAATAATCAAGATATCAAAATCAAAAAATAGGATTTTGAGATTCAAAGGAATCCTTGATCTAAGAAGGAAACAAATATGCAAGGCTTACATAGGATCCCCTCCAAGGGTGTCTGGCGAGGTAACACTTGTGCAGGAATAGTTATTAAACAAAATTTCAAAAGTATCTGGGTGACAATGAAATGAAATCCAAATTGTGACGAGATTCATCCCATCCTTGTCCTTGGATTTGAAACAAATGTATAGCACAAAGAACGGATACAACGTTCAAAAAGTCAAAGGTGGCCCTCTAGGCAACTAGTGGCCTTGACCGCCCAGGCGGCCACATCTAGACACTTAGGCAGCCCTAAGGGCAGGGCTTGGGGTGGGGGGCATACGGTGTTTCGTGTATTTATTCTGTGAATGTATGTGTCTGTATGTGTGCATGCGCACATATGCGTGTGCGTAAGGCCTCGCATGAAATTCTTAAAGATCATTCTCTTTTTTTTTTTCCTTTTGGATGAGATAGAGAGAAAGAGAGAAAGACAGAGAGAGAGAGAGAGAGAGAGAGAGATTACACATAACTGAATTTTTGTCTAGGTGGATTTGATTTATTTATTTATTTATTTTATTAAAGGGGTGTCACTACGTGGGCACCCAGACCTAGGCGGTTTGTCTGTGAGGCCATTTAGGCAGCCAGGTAGCCGACTTTTTCATCACTGAACGGACATGTAACATAAAATACTTAGTCATTACTCCTAGGATCTCATTCTCTAAAATCACTTTGGGCTGAAGTTTTTATTTGAGAAGCATTAACTTGTATTAACAGATAATAATAAGTATACAAAAATAACCCTTTAATGGGGCCGTATATCACCAAGATGGTGAGTTAGATACAAAAAATCCTATACATCCTCGTAGTGATATTATGATCGAGGAAACCACTGTGTACAAAAAAGCCAATGGGATCCACTCCCAGAAGGCAATGCCGCTCCCTCTTATGCGAGGGTATCAGCCAAAGAATTAGCTTCTCGCCAAATGTGGGTCCACAATACGCAAACATGGCTCATAATGTCAAATATCTCACCAAAAAAGTGGGCCAGCCTCCAAGGGCAGAGCAAGAAACCCATGATATCAATTACCTAATCAATCGATTATCGACATGGCTACACCTGATTTGAAAAACAAGTTTCAATTTTAAAAAATTATATCAAAGGAATCCCTATCAGCCCCACTTACGGCTTTTTACGGAGCATATTTCGTTTTTCTCCCTTCCATTGAAAGAGAGAGTCATTAAGCAAACTAAGTTAAATGCATGTTTCTTGGACATGCAATACATGATACATGGCCATCACAAATCGAGATAGAATATCCTCCCTTTTTTATTTTATTTTTTTTGCCTCTGAACATGTTTTGTTCTCATTCAATTATTTAACTAATCTCACTACAAAGCCCTCGAGAGAAACTCCAATGACTCACTTTGATCTTCGATTTTTCTTTCTTATATAATTTTATCATACTTGTTTTTTTTTGGATAAATCATATGGCTCAATCTTTCAATTGGACTTTACAATCCTCGGTAGTAAAAGTACATATGAAACAGACAGCCCAACAACCAGTTACTTTCAAAATTCTATAGACAATCTAATTGGATAGTGTAAAATTGTTACTTTCTTCCTTCCACATAGCTCATCAAGCTTCTATTGCATATTGTGTAGCACCTCATCCTGTTCTTGCTCATTCGTTCTTTGTTTTTCTCTCTAAAAATTGTTCTTTGCTCATTCCCTTGCTTTCCTTTTTCAATCAGTTCACTAGTCAATAGGTTCCCTTGCATTTTTTTAATTGGTTGAATACTCTTTGAATAGTCCAATTTTGGAACCATTTTGTTGCAAGCATTTTTCATGAACCTCTTTACAAAAGTGACAGTGTACCTCTGTGTACATGTGACAGCCCTATTGAATAAGTGACAACTATTTCTTTTGAACATTGACGGGCTGTTTTGCACGACCCTTTTGAATAAGTGACAACTATTTCTTTGGAACGTTGGCGTTGCACCACATTTATATGTGGCGGACTACATTTGTAAATTGTGACGGACCAATTTTTCTCCCAAAAAAAGGGTTCCTTGTCCCTATTGTTTAATAGGTAGTTCATGTTGTTTCCAGTCCAACCAAAGCCTGATCCGGATGCATAAGGTAATTTTGTGATAGTTTTTTACCTGTTGCAATGGAGCAATTAGAATCTTTTGCTAGCATTGGCTCAACAATAGTGAGACACACACTAGAGCAATTGCAATCATTGCTCTCACAATCTCGTTCGTCCAAAGGGACTACATCTACTTTTTCAAGTAAAACTGCTTCAGCTTCTTGGTTAATAGACTCTGGCGCTTCTCATCATATGAGTCTATTCTTGTTGATTGCAAACCTGTTTTGAAACCATTTGTATTGCTAATGGTACCACTATGAAAGTTTTTAAGGTGGGCTCAATTATTACATCCCCTAATCCTTCTGGCAAATTGAATGTTTCTAGTGTTTATCATGTGCCCTCCATTGCTCTGAACTTGCTTTCTGTTGGTCAGATTACCCGTTCCAATTGTAATGTTGTTTTCACTCCCTCTGGATGTCATGTGTACGATCAGCAGTCACCACAGTCAGGGAAACTAATTGGGACTGGGCATAAAGATGGTGGCCTCTACTTTCTGGATCATCTTCATTTGGAAACTCCTTCTGAAACTTCTGCCAGAGCTGAAATACTTGACAAAAGATCTCTGTGGCATCAACGTTTGGGTCATATTTCTACTTCTTGATTAGAATTTTTGCTTTCTCGGAGTTTTTTTTTTTTTGATAAAGTTAACTTTGTATATCTGTGAGAGAGAGTACAAGTGAAAAGGGGAAGAGAGGACCTCGAGTACCCCCGAGGCGGGTACCTTGGTCTAAAAATAGGTTTGTAGACCCTATACAAAAAATTGGCCCTGTCCTGCCTAACTACAAAAGTTAGAGAGTAGGAAAAATAGGGGCTTATAAGAGACGCACAAGTACAGTAAAAATAAAAGGTAATTATAGTCTAGGGAAGCCTCTATGGTCCAGAGCAAAAAAGGAGATGGACCGGTCAGGGTCTTCAACACTTGCCTGTGCCCCTTCTTTAGTAAGAAGATCAGCGAGCTCGTTTGACGTCCGCCAAGTATGCCACCATAAGACGTGCATATCCCTGCATATATAGTTGATTTCATCAAAAATCGTGGAGAGGTACCAAGGAGAAGGGGAGGTGCCTGCTGCCCAAGAGATGATGTTTTGGGCGTCTCTTTCCACCACCAAATGTTGACCCCAAGAGGAGTTGAATCTTTTGAGACCCAGCAAGAGAGCCATTGCTTCGGCAAACTGGGAATCTCCATGTCCCACGTTTTCCGAGTAGGTGAGAAGAATATTGCAGATGTGATCACGGAAAACCCCTCCTACCCCTAATGGCCCTGAGTTTCCCAGTGAACAACCATCAAAGTTGAGTTTGATGGCATTGACTGGAGGGGCCAACCAGTTGTGAGGTCTTTGCTTCTTGTGAGGTTGAAGGTTCAAAATATTCTCCCACTGGCTGAGAAACGTGTTAGGAGGAATCCCTACAAAGTCCTTGTGAATAAAGGCCCAAAAAATTACCAAGGATGTAACTTTCTGGAACAACGCAAGGACATCTCTTTTGTGGCCTTGGAAAATCCTCTCATTCCTCTCTATCCAAATTACCCAAATGGTTGCAGCGATAGCTGCCTTCCACAAAGTTCTGGCAGCCTTAGGCCAATGGTGGCCGGAGTAGGAAGAGATGAGAGCCTTGACTGAGGATGGGAGAACCCATTGAAAGTTAAACAGCTGAAGGACACAGATCCAGAGTTCAAAAGCCAGGATGCAATGTAGGAAAAGGTGAGGGTTAGTCTCTTCCTCGTGTAGGCACCAAGTGCATCTATTTGGAAGTGAAAGTCCTCTTCGCTGAAGGTGGTCGACGGTGAGAGCCCGTTGGCAGCAAGCTATCCAATTGAAGGTTTAGACTTTTGGAGGAGCAATGGTTGACCAGACTTTGGATTGGACAGCAGTGGGGGGTATGTAGAGGGTTGGATAAGTTTGTTGTAGAAAGATGCTACTGAGAAGTTCCCTGAGGGAGAGAGAGTCCAAACCAGTGAATCAATTCCAGAGGGAGATTAGAAGATGGGGTATAAGGTTGCGGACAAAGAGATGAACAGTGTAGCCTCTTCCTCGGTTAGGTTCCCTCTAAAGGAGCGGTTCCAAGACCTTCTGCCACCTAAAAGGACCATCTCTTCAGTAATGGTTGATTCTTTGTTGACAGAGAGATGAAAGAGAGAGGGGAAAAGATCCCTAAGAGGGGTATGTCCTATCCAAAGGTCGGACAAAAAAGGTACTCTCGAGCCTTCTTTGGGGTGGAAACAGATGGAATGGTTGAAAAGAGCAAGAGAAGAAGCAAGGGACTTCCAGGCACCAGAGGTCCTTCTGCGAGAAGTCCTGTCAGGCACCCACTTGTGAGTGGGGATTCTGTATTTGTAGCGAATGACCTGTGCCCAGAGGGAGATAGGTTGAGTTACCAATCTCCACCACCATTTACCTAGCAGAGCCAGGTTATGTTTCCTAAGATCCTTGATACCGAGCCCTCCTTGGGATTTGGGTAGTCGGACAGTATCCCAAGAGATTAGCTGGTGTCTGGTTTTTTCCCCTTGGCCAGACCAGAGGAAGTTTCTCATAAGCTGGTCCAGCCTTTTAGCTACCGAGGCTAGCATGTGGAAAATGGACATTAGGTAGATCGGGGCATTGGCCAAAGTGGCTTTGACGAGCGTGGATCGGCCTGCCAGGGAAAGAAACCTCCCTTTCCAGCCGGTCAGACGCCTATCCACCCTGTCAATAATTTGAGCCCATTGTCTTTTTTTGGGCTTCCCCAAGCCCAAAGGAATGCCCAAGTAGGTGGTGGGAAGGTCCTCTACTTTGCAATCCCAAGAAGGAATAAGGGCTCTGATTTCTTGACTCGTGAGACCCACCCCCATCATCTTAGATTTGTCCATAATTAACTTTGAATCCTGTGCCAGTCTCGAAGCAAATGAGAAACAGCCTCAGGTTATCGATCTCCTGTGGGGAGGCGTCAAGGAAGACAAGTGTATCATCTACATATTGCAGATGAGACACCGAGGGACCTCGTGTGCTACAATGGAAGGCTGAAAGGAGGCCGTCCTGGTAGAGGCGAGAGATGGACCTACTGAAGACCTCTGCGACTACAACAAAGAGAAAGGGGGACAGAGGGTCCCCTTGGCGAAGGCCCCTCGAGGAAGGAAAGAAACCTTTCGGGCTCCCATTTATGAGGATGGAGAAATGGGGCTTGGTGATGCAGCCTTGCATCCATTTTCTCCAGCGGTTACCAAATCCCATCCTGGCCAACGTTCGTCTAAAAGAGACCAATCGACATGATCATAAGCCTTTTCCCAATCGATTTTAGCATTGGCTTCTTGGATAAGTGCCTTGAATATTATTTATTCTATTTCTTCAAAAAGTCTCTCTACCGTTAAAGATTGCAAGTCGCGCAAACTTTAAAAAATGCATGAATTACCATTCATTCGCAGCAATTCAATTTTTGCTTCTATGTTTAATCTAGTGCATACTGATTTCTAAGGACCAGCTCCTTTTGCATCAAAGAGGGGGTCACGGTATTATGTCATTTTTATTGATGATCACACCAAATATACTTGGGTTTTCTTTGTGAATAACCGCATTGAAATATATGACATCTTTGTCTGGTTTTATTTATACAGTGAAACTCAATTTCTACCAAAAAAATGTCTTACGATCAGATTCTGGAGGGAAGTATATTAGTGGGATGTTTCAAAATTTTATTTCTGACAAAATAATTCAACACTAAAAATCTTGTCCTTATACTCCTGAAAAAAATGGTATGGTTGAACGCAAAAATCTCCACATTTTAGAAACGGCATGAGCCACTCTCAGCAACCTCAGTTGCAAAGGCATCTGGGCAGAAGTTGTTCGCACAGCCGTTTTTATTTGATTAATATTATACCTTATATTGTCTTGTCTGGATGTTCCCCTTTTGAATGATTGTTTACTCAACCCCTAGACTATTCAATTCTTCGTATTTTTTATTACACATGCTTTGTCCTGTTGCCAGTATCTGAACAAGACAAACTGTCTACCAAATAATTAAATGTTGTTTCCTAGGTTATCCTAACCACTAAAAGGGTTATTGATGTTATGACCCTATGACTAGGAAACTTCTAATGTCCCGACATGTAGTATTTTCTGAACATATTCCTTTTCATTCCTATCCACCTGCTGACTCTTCTTACACTTCTTTGCTTGCTCCTTTCTCTGATGATATTTCTATTGTGTCTGCAACCTCGCACATGCCTCCTATGGATGATCCAATCGTAGAGCACTCAACTATTGCTGATGCACCACTTCAGGCACCTGCACCTACTGCTCCTGTACAGACACCTGTTGTGGTGCTCGTGTCCCTGTTTTACCTATACGTTTTGGTTTTGCATGCACCTTTTGTTGATTATGAAACCTTTTTAACTAAGTACCGAGCATTTCTTGCCTTTGTTCATTCTTACTTTGAGTTGCAGACTTATGAAGAAACTGTCAAACAGGCTGAGTGGCAACATTCCATGGCAAAAGAGTTGACTGCCCTCGACAAAATGCATGCTTGGGATCTTGTTCCTCTTCCCAAAGATAAAATAAACATCGGGTGCCGGTGGGTGTACAAAATCAAAACTAAAGTTGATGGCAGTATCGAGAGCTATAAGGCACAACTTGCGGTTAAAGGTTATAATCAACAATTTGGGATTGATTTTGCTGAAACCTTTGCTCCTGTTGCCCACATGACTATAGTTTGCACCTTGATTTATGTAGTTGTTATTCACCAATGGCCTCTATATCAGCTTGATGTAAACAATGCATTTCTTAATGGCGAACTTGCAGAAGAAGTATCTATGCAGGTACCTCCTGGGGTTTCTGATTCTGCCAATAGAGTTTGTCGACTACGACACGCACTCTATGGGTTCAAACAAGATCCTTCTGCTTGGTTTGAAAATTTCAGTTCTACAGTTGTCTATACAAGGGTTTTCAACAAAGCCATCATGACCTGGCTAAGTTTGTCTCAATCACACTCAGAGGTCATGCAATTCTCCTACTCTATGTTGCTGATATGATCATTTCTGGTGATGATGAGGCTACTATACGTCTAATCAAGTATAAACTTAGTCAGCTTTTCAAGATAAAGATTTGGGATTCTTAAAATATTTTTTTGGGCCTAGAAGTTGCTTATTCTCCTCATGGGTATTTGCTCTCACAATTCAAGTATGCCACATATGTTATTTCTCAAGCTCATCTAACGGATGAAACAAAGCACATTGCCACACCTACTGACCTTAATGTCAAACTTCGCTCTATAGATGGTGAACCTCTTTCTGATCCTACACTTTATAGGCACTTTTTTTGGAAGTTTGATTTATTTGATTATCTCTCGGTCAGTCATTGCTTATGTTGTTCATCTTGTCAGTTAATTCATGACTGCCCCTCGTTTTGCTCACGTGGCAGTTGTTTTACGTATCATTTGTTAGATTCGAGACAATTTTGATCATGCTCAATTGCTTTCTTCTTCCACTCTTGAGCTTCGTGCCTACATTGACTCTGATTTTGCAGGGGATACTACTGATCAGAACTCTACTATGATTTTGCAGGCAATACTACTGATCAAAACTCTACTATAGGTTTTTGTAATTTTTTTTTGTGACTCCTTTCTTTTTTGGAAGAGCAAAAAGCAGAAACATATTTTCAGTCAACAGTTGAAGCTAAGTATCAAGCAATGGCCCAAACAATGGCTGAGATTGTCAGGCTTTGTTGGTTAGTAATTGACTTAAGTGTGGAGTTTTCTTAAATATATTGTGATAACAAAAGTACAATTTATATTCCAAAGACCCCAGAGTTCCATGAGCGCACCAAGCATATTGAAGTAGATTGTTATTTTGTTCGACAGGAAAATCTAGCGGGGACAATCTCTCTTCCATATATATCTCATCTTCTACACAACTTACTGACTTCTTTATGAAATCCCTAATGCTCCTCATTTCTCAAGCCTTGCTTCCAAACTCTCAATGGTTCGCTTCCAACCATCACGACTTTGAGGGGGAGTATGAAATTGTGTATATTTACTTTATTCTTTTTACTAGATAGGATGATCTTTCCATGATCATTCAGGACGTATTCTTTCCTTTTCTGTGTATCACACAGGTTGTACAATGTAACCAGTATACATATATGGGATTCCTCCCACAGGTTTAATACAGAAAAAAGAGAGATTTTCTCACAGATAAAACCCAATAACTTAGTTTTCAATAGGGAGATCTATCTCAATAATATCAAAAGAAAGGCTAGGAATGGCAGCTTAGAAGATAAGCTTACAAGCAAAATGGAATCTGGGTTTCCTACATCAGAATCCAGAGATCAGAAGACACAGTACACCTTTTCATGCCAAATCTAGATTGTCAAAATTCATAGCATTTATTCTTAACATTCAGTATTAAGAAAAACATGAACAAATAGACGACAGTGGCATATATCAACTTCAACTCATTAACCTAAGACACTAATTACCTCTTATTTCCCTTTCTTCTGTAATGGATACAAGGAACACAATTTAACCATGAAAATTGAAAACCCCTAGTCGCCAAAACAGTAAGATGTTAAGCCCAAATGCAGAGAGAGAAGAAGAAAGGAACACGGATGTGTACTTACGTGGAAGAAGCAGAGGTTTGGTTGATCGAATCGGTCATTATTCTGCCTCTGCTTCCTGGAGTGAGGAGGGGGAGGAATTCTCGACAGCTGCTGCTTTTTCTTCTTCCAATTCCTAACCTGGGAAATGAGATGAGGAGACCGGGATTATTGGATTTAGGGGCAAGGAAATCGTTATTAATGACAGTAACATTGGACTTGGAAGGAGAAGAGGTTATATTGAATAACAATAATGGATGGGATTTGAAAGAAGTCGAGAGACCGATCATTCCCCCTTCCTCTTCCAAGAGAAACGGAAACCAAGGAAATGGTTTTATCCTCGGGAACGCATCTGTAAGACCATTTTATTTGGGTGTGGTTTGCATAAGGTTGCACCTTAAACTATGCAATTGAGGGCGCTCCTCTAAATTTTATAATTTTGATTTCAAAAATTTTATTATAAATGTAATTTTGATATCAAAAATTATTAAGGTGGCTTGATAATCTATTTTTTCTAATTATAAAATTTTAAATTCTAAAAATAGTTCAAATCAAGTGGATATATAACCACATGAAAATCTTGAAAAGAACAAACCAAATAATGTGTTGTAAGGTACACCATTTTGTGGATTCAAAAAAAAAATTTATTTTGCATATTTATACATCTTGATATCAAGATGACCGATTAGAAGGTTTTCCAACCTATAAACAATCTTTTATCATAGACTTTTGAAGTGCATCTTTAATTCTACACTTTAAGGTTGCGAATTTATATTAGTTTTTTCTTTTATTTTTAGCATAAGGAAACCACAACAATCTTTGGCCCTTCGATGTAAAAATCATGTGGCTAAGAGTGTGTAAGTGACTGAGCTCAAAGTCCAAAAAATATTTCTCGACATCCATGGTATGTCACGAGCCATCATAATGGACGTTTAATACACAAAAAGTGACTTCTACGAATGAAATATCAAAACAGAAGTTAAAAGTTGCTACCATCTATATACATAAGACCATCAACCATTTGTTTTCGAGGTGGTGCACATTGAAGAAAAGCAGTAGCACGATGAAGCAGGAAAACTTAACGTCGTTCAGTTTCATGACGCATCTCGAGAATGGTCAGTGTGGATCGAGTCTCCCAGGGGATGCTGATGTTATCGCCCTCTCCAAAAGAAGTCCAGACCATCACTCTCTCTCCAAATTTTACGTCGTTCTTGGACATTCCCTTGTTGATTGGGAAATTAGATACATTACTCACTAGAAGTAATCTGAGATTACAATTATGATTGAATTATTTAAGGTCTTATTGAAAGTTGTACAAGGTGATCTAATACAGTGTAAATAGTTTTTAATTTTTTTTTCTCACTGATTAGAACACTTATAAATGTCCAAGTATAATAATATCAATAGAAAACTATAAAAAACCACAAAGACCACACTTTCTATACAACTTACCTCCAACCAAATTTTTTTCTCTCATTTTTTTTCCCAAAACAAAATTTCTGTTCAAATACCCCCAATGGAAAAAGTTCAATATTTTTAGACGGAACTACCCTTCATGTATACAAAAATCATTTTGGCCAGATTTGACGTTGACTTTTGGACCCCAGAAGCATATTGCCGAAGCACACTATCACATTGCCGGAGTGCAAGTGCCGGACCGCCCTAAGACAACTACCGGACCGAAACTGAGTACTAGGGAACTGCCCTTTACATAGCGTCGGACCCCTCGAATCCACTAACATCTACTGCCGGACCGCCCCTTGCAACTACTGGACCGCCCTTTTCAATTATCAAACTGCACTTTATAGAATGTCAAAGCCCAAGCACTTTACACAATGTCGGAGCTCTACTGTCGGACCACACTTTATACAGTACCAAAGCACTAGAACCACATTTACACAGTGCCGAAGCCCGTATTTTGGTGGGATAGATGAGAGAGTCGTAAGTAAGGTAAAAGTAAGGGATGGTAGTTTAGGCATTTTTTTATTTATTTTTTGGTTGGGGGGTATTTGCATAGAAAGTGTCTTTTGGGGGAAAAAGTGAGGGAAAAAGTTAGGTTGGGGGTAAGTTGCATACATAGTGTAGTCTTGGAGTTTTTTTGTAATTTTTCCTAAATTCAACTCAAGATAAACAATTAAATAATCAAAAGTGGTTATCACGTACTACTACTCTTACAATTTCTTTTATTCAATTAATGAAAACAACACAACGCTTATAAGAATAAGAAAACAATAAAATACTACAAATTATAAAGCAAGATACTTGAATATTACCTCAACCGGACTTAGTACACCCAACACCGAGTCTCTTCCTCCAATGACGTACAGGATCAATAGTCTATCTCAGATCTTTAAAGCATGGAAAAACATTGGCTACAACCCTTAATTAGTATGAGAGCAACATGAAACATCACATAAACCACAAGGCCTCAATACCTTGTATGTGTGGGGCTTGCCCCTTATTTCTATCTCAATAAATATTTTTCTAAAGGAGAGAGAGATCTTAGAGAGAAAGGAGAGATGAGAGGTGTAGAGATTTATGGGAGAGATCGCTCCCATTTACAGAGTTTCCAGGGGTTAGGGTTTCCTTAACGTTAGTCATCTTTATGGAGATTAGATTCAAACCATTGACCATAAGACACCTGTGGATTGAACGATTTGAGTCATCAATTCCTTATATCAACCATCATGATTCAAATGAAGGTGCTAGAACCTTATCTACTAGCTTCCTAAACCTTATCACATCAAATATTGTAATATAGAAAATATTATCAATCATAGTGTATTTTTTTATAATATTTTTATATAATATTTTGATTAAAATCAATCTGTCTTAAATTTCAAATCATATCAAAATTGAATAGTCAAAAGTTATTTGCTCATTCATGTTTCCATGAAAATCTTTACAAAACATTTTCCATAAATTTTCAACTTGATTGATTGCCTTGATTCACAAGGCTAGAAAATAAGAAAGTACCCCAATGAAGTGGGGTATTCCACACATAGGGCCCTTATGTGGGCCCCACGAACATCACAATGGTGGACTTGATAGGCCCCCATGGGCCCTCTCAAATATTTATGAATTATAAAATTATTAAAAAGATTTTTAGAATATTACAAACAAAGAAATTTTCTCTCTAAATATTTAAATACTGAAATTGCATATCTATCCATTTATAAATTCATTTTACCAAAATAAAATATCAAGAGACTCATAAAAATTCAAATAATCAATTTAAAAATCATATAACATCAAAATAATTAAAACTAAATAATTTTGATAGGAATCGAATTTGTCTAGATCAATGAATTATAATCATTGAAGCACTCCATCTTCTATTGTGGACTATAATCCACACTTGTTTTCTCAATTGACTCAGTAGTTCTTATGACCCACTGACCATTGCAAGTGTTCATGATTAAGCTATTAAAGTCAGCCAATAGATATGGGAACACAATCCCAATCTATGGACTACAAGTTCTTCCCTAGAGACAAACCCAATGTCATCTTGATCAGATGCAACCACAGCTCTATGACGCATATGAGCAATGGTTTAAAAAGTGGATCGGTGACCCAGATCGAGCACCTCCAAAACTGATCCGAATCGGCGAATCGGCGATCTGGATCGGGAATCGACTGAATCTGTTTGATTAAAGCTTCAAAAAAATCCGAAAAATTTATTAAAATTCATTATAAATGTTGTTTTTTAAGAATCCAATAAGAAATGAGGGTACTACATTATTAACTTTCATTTTTTTCATCGATTTGTGAATATTAAGATGCTCTTTCCCTATATAAACTTAAGTATTAAATTTGCATCACATAAAAGATAAATCATAGAATTATCATGAATAAAATATATAATTATACATAGATTATAATAAAGAGTAGACTAAATCAATGAAAGAATGGCCATTAAAATCTCGTTTTGACGAAAAACCTTAATCAGCTAAAAACACCCAAATTATTACAGCCAAACTAACTATAATCCATAATTATTACAACTTAACTAATTATAATATTATATAATGAAATTATAATTATTAGTTTACATTTTATAATGATTTTATTAGACAAATAATAACAAATTAAAAGTATTTTATAATATTATCTAATTTAAAATGTATTATCGACAACTGTAAGAAAAACAGTACATTACATAATATATAATAGAAAAATTAATAAATAAAATAAAAGATTTGGTTATCAATGTAAAAATTAATAAAATACGTACAAATTTTGGAAATAACACTTCAATTTTTCAAAAATTTACTTTTTTAGGTTTTTTTAATAAATTTAGTGAAAGAGATTGTTAGTAGAAAGAGGGAGATTTCAAATAGAATAAACTTTTTATTTTTTATTTTTTTATGCCTTTCATATTATTTACAAAAATAATTATACCACTATATACAACAAAAATTAACCGTTATACAAAAAATTAACCCTTTTTTTTTCATTTTTTTATGCCTTTTATATTATTTACAAAAATATTTATACCACTATATACAACAAAAAGCTACTATACAACATATATACAACAAAAACTACTATACAACAAAAACTACAAACTGTAACGCACAAGGGGATTCGACCTTGGGATATCAAAGCCAAAAACTACAAACTGTAACGCACAAGGGGATTCGACCTTGGGATATCAAAGCCAAAAATAGAAGTCATAACCATCACGTCGTCTCACTGAATGTGATTATTAGTTGCTGATTAATAGAATATATTTACATTGCTTTTTCATTTTATGATGTTTGGGAATTATCCCACATCAAAGGATGAGTATTCAACTTTGCTATACAAATACTTATGTAATATGAAGTAAGGTATACGTGTTGAAACATTGGGCAACTTCACACGTGATATGTGGCACGTGCTTTTGTCACACGTGTCCGCTTGTCACACGTGTCCGATTGTTACACATGTTCGCATGTCCGTGTCGGAGTGGTGATGTCAGAACCGACGGTTGATGATGTCATCGGGCGGTTTACTGTTTAAAATCGCCCGGTTCTCTTTAAACACAGGCGGTTCCCGTTTTATGTGTGGAACCGGCTCGTTCTGTGGCGATTTCCGAGTCAAACCGGGCGAGTCCGGCTCGACTCGGCATTTTTTTAAACCCTGCATATGAGTAATCTCTAGCACATATACAAGCTTCACCCTCAAAGGTGATTCGTTTTCCCAATACGGCTATCATATGTACATGTCCTGTGATGGTTCAGTGAAGAGGCTTTGGCCTTCATCTCTAAAGGTCAACCATCACACATAAGGGTCACACAATCCCTCGGCTCACACCCTTGGGCAACTCCGACCTCATCAAGGGATGACCCACAAAACTTGTTGACTATGTGTTCTTTTTAATGCCTTAAAGCCAAGAGTTA